AGTATTATAATCACACTGTGGAAGGACTAAAGTATGAACAGTGATTATAACTAGATAACTGTTGGATTAGTATTACATTTAGAAATGATCAATTTAAGATAGGGCAAAGATTACACATCGGGGTGCAGATATAAATTATTTTTATTAATCTATTATTTCTAGAGTCCAAGGGGACATCTTGGACCCAAAGATATTACAAATATAATCTAATATGAATCAGAGAAAAGCACCAGATAGAGTTATGTCTTCACAGTGATAATATCTAGGGATGTCCCGATCCGATCACGTGATCGGGGATCGGAGCCGATCACGTGATTTTCAAAAGATCGGAATCGGGAGAAAAAAATCGGGGATCGGGAATTTATTTTTTTATTTTTTTATAAAATATTTTTATACATTTTATTTAATGTTACAAAACAAAAATGACCATGTTCACGTCTTAAAGTCATCCTGAGGCCTTAGTTTTGGTTTCAAATTACACAACATCATGTATGTGTTGCTTCTTTTGGGCTTGTTTTCATAGACCTGGTTGCTTATTTCTCTCAAATCTGGCAACAGTGGGCGCAGTGTCTAATAGTAGCAGTAAGCTAACAAGAGGCTACGTTCAGCTGGTGCCTCGGGAGTCGGGACAGAGAAAATGTCAGGAGTTTGGAAGTATTATAAAATTGAAAGCGAAGGCAGTGTAACAGCCAGATGCAATATTTGCAAGGCGGAGGTTCCACGTGGTGGAAAGAACAGAGCTACGTTCAACACGACCAATCTAATACAAACACCAACAACAACACGACGAGTACACAGCGGCCACTCAGGTAACGGCACTGAAACAACCAACACTTTCAGAGACTTTTAAAAAGGAAAGAGAAACTGCCCCAGAACAGTGAAAAGGCCAAAAAAATAACAGCCAAAATAGCTGAATTCATCGCGTTGGATGACCAGCCGTTATCTGTTACCTTTTTTTTCTCTTAATGCATTGCATAAAGATCGGATCGGGAAAAATCGGTATCGGCAGATTGTCAAAATCAAATGATCGGAATCGGATCGGGAGCAAAAAAAGGTGATCGGGACATCCCTAATAATATCAGTTATCAAAGTGTGATAGATTTTATATTTATCCATGTATCGACTAAAGGATAGGTTGATAAATTCACTGAATCGAAAGCCATACATTACGTGTTAGACATACGATGTAAGCTTCAGGAGATTTGTCATCAATTAGAAATCTAAAAAGAGCTTATTGGGCGACTACTGGTGCACGTAATCGGGTAAAATACATATAAACTTGAGTAATCTTGCACATAATATGAATTAAATACTGTTATGTGGGTAAGATGCAACAAAGTTCTCTCCGCAGTTTAATCGAGGGGGCAAGAGAAAATTCAAAAAGTAGAACGAAAATTAAAACGGTCTAATTTGTAGCGAGCAGGTGATTTGTTGCTACGCGGCTAATTAGCAATTAGCCCATTGAAAGACTCTATCGAGGTCTTATGTATGGGTAATGGATGGATACGTGGAGGTCTTACAGAACTGGCATGGAAACACCATTGAGGCTCTTATTACACCGGGGGGTTTCCACAGCTGATCCAAACGGAGACCAAGCCAAGGGATGATATCATCCTCTGGCATGCTTTTCCAAACCGTGTCACACCGGCCTTTTGCTCCAGCGATTTTAACTCATCTCAGGGGACCCCCTCCATCACCGTCACCACGTCACCATACCCCCCCCCCCACATGTGGTGTGAATGCCTCCTCTGTGAGCAGGCCAAGGATCTGCCAGCGGCCCCTCTCTTTGTGAGCTCAATGGGCACGACTCGGCCACGTTTTAAGGCGCCCTAATGTACCATGGCCGCACCACAAAGGAAGCGTGGTAATTTGCCAGGGATAATGACACTCCCTTAATTCTGCCCTAGGGGCCACAAACAGAAAGCTTTAAAGAGAATCCTTATCCAGGGATGAGTCCCCTGTCCCCCTTTTTTTCTAGGTCTCTCTCCCTCTCTTCCTCAGTCCACCTCTTTGCTCTTCTATTGGCCTGAAAGGAGCTTGTTTTCTTCCGGCTTTTTGTCATCCTGAACTAAATATCAGCAAACAACCACGGAGCTGGAGGAGAGGACATGCCAACCCCGACTGGAGGCCCTGATCTCATCCCTGAGGAACACCATCAGAGAGGCCATCGCTGCCCTGCTCCAATGACACATACTGGGGAAAGACAAATTGAACAGACGAGAGTATGAGAGATGGAGACGAGTGCTGAGGATAGGGAGCAACACAACAAAATGTAGGCAGATGCCAGCGCTGGCCTTCTGGGATATTAGACACAGAGAGTGAGACGAGGGTGAGATTGGAGAAGAAGTGGTCTGTGCGTTTCATCATGAATTGGATTGTTCTCTTCTCGCAGTAGTTCGGTTTCTTTTCCGTCCCGTAAAGACACGATCTGTGCCGTTAAAACTTAATGAACCCTAAACAGATGTATTTTATATTTCTGATTCAGCTGGTCTTCACATTGTTACGCCTAAGGTAGACACAATAAATATAACAACACAGCTTCAGAGCATGTTTGATCAGTATTCTCATGTGCATGTTTACTCACATAATCTCTAATCATGCCTGAAGGAAGATAACAGATTGTGTATGATCTATGAAATGAACTCTTGATTATTCCACTCAATGCAAACAAAGCAGGGCTTGATAACTCTGAATACCAGACTGAATCATACATTGATCTTACATCTGTGGTTTGTATTGCCTTTGTTTAATTTACGGAGCACTGACGTCCTCTCCCTAGATGGCTGGCCAGAATACCGCCATTGCAATTTTTTAAGTAATCAAACAGTGGATTCCAGATGTGTTAATCCTGATCTAAGTCTCATCATCTAACACGATACAAGCATACAAGCCAACAAGTCTTTATCTTGGTTTGAGTTTTGCACCTGGTGAATTTATTTTGAATATCAATAATACTGTTTTTTGTGTGCAGATGCTCCGTGTCAACATCAATATCTTTGAGGGAATACTCAAGGCTTGTCAGTAAATAATGCTCCACTTCATTTTCTGTCAATAGCAGCACTTTCCCCACTGTTCCTGTCACAGAGGACCCTGTTTACTCAGCTGAACAAACCCTCTTCAAAATATAATGAGGACATTGAATCTGACATCGAGAAAAACATGCATCTTCAATTAGTCTCAATGCAAGTATTCTCTGGTATAAATAAGATTAGTTAAGTTTTATGATATACATGTATAGTAGGGGGCCCCAGCACATAGAAACTGCTGGATGCTCATTTGCATATAATGGGCAATTTGCACAATTAGCATAAGTTATTAAGCATTATAGCCAATGTGGACAATAGTTAAAATATGGCTTGGCCAATTTGGACATTTTTGGAGTGGTTTTGGGGTCTTATTGAGGGTGCTGAGTCAATTTCTGATTGATTGTGATCATTTTCAGGATCAAAAATTGTAGTTCTAACCAGAAAGTGGGCATATTGGGGCGGAGTGGCGCAGTGGGCTGTGCGTTTGATCATCAGATCAAGGGGGCGTTGGGGAACTCCAGTTCGAAACCCGCTCCCGCCGCCACTGCGTCAGGCCGTTGTGTCCTTGGGCAAGACACTTCACCCGAATTTGCTCCCGTGGGTATTGTCCACAGTACATGTATGATATCAATGTGTACTTGTAAAGCGCCTTGATGACTTGTGAAGATGGGCGGTGTGGCGCAGTGCGCTGTGCATTGATCATCAGATCAAGGGGGCGAAACCCGCCGTCGCTGCGTCTGTAAAGCCGTTGTGTCCTTGGGTAAGACACTTCACCTGAATTTGCTCCTGTGGGTATTGTCCACAGGACATGACCATTACATGTATGTATGATATGTATGTGTAATGTGTATCTGTAAAGCGCTTTGAGTCATTGAAAAGCGCTATAATAAATATAAGGAATTATTATTATTACATTGGGACTCTTGGTGGGTTGATTTGGACTACCATGGGTTATTACCTCTACTGTGGATACTTTTCCTTCGAAAAAATAAGCAATCTGTCCACTCCAAAAGTTCAAGAGTCTCTTAAATCTTTCAAATTGAACCAAAATGAATCAAAATCAGCCCAACTGAGAGTACAAATATTGCAATTCTGGTTAAAAATTGTCATTTTTGATCCTGAAAATGTAGAAATGGACTCCTCAATAACCCCCACAACCACTCAAAACATTTCCAAATTGGCCAACTCATTTTTTAACTATGATCCACATACATGTAGGCTATAATGCAAATTAACTAATCAACTTATGCTAATTTCGCTAATTGCCTGCAAGTTAGCATCCAGCAGTTTCTATGTGCTGGGAACCATATTATACATGTATATTATAAAACGTTGGGGTACTCAACATTTTCCGGGTTCACAACAGGACTCTCTGATCAGTTTGGGGAGATTTGTTTCAGGTTTCCTCCGTTTTCTATCAAATACCATTATAATTCTAAGAGATATGATCCTAGAGCCTCGGTTGTTGAGGGGAGTCCTGATGACAGCATGTCTCACTGTTGTTATAATCACACTAATAGCAGACAGAGTGTTAGTGGAGGCGATGCCACAAGGTGACTGCGTTCTCGTCACATCACATCTAAACACTGATTTCACCCCACAGTGTCAATTAGCCTCAAGGACGTCTGCAGAGGAGACACAGAGGTAAGACTCATCCATTAGCCGCCTGGAAGAAGCACTTCCAGGAGTTCCTCCATCTCTCCTTCGCTGCTTTTCACATCACTCACTCAGAATAGAAAGGGCCTTTCAACAGAGGACCTCTCACTAAACCAGCCACAGAGATTTTGGGGGGTAGGGAAGACATTTAGAGAGTGCGAATAGGAGAAAAAGAATAATCGACAGTCCCTCATGGTGGACATTCTTCAAAAGAGCAGACAGAAGTTTGGCGCTTGGCTGCGAACATTTATCAAATTCCTTGACAGATACAAAGCAGAAATTCCAAGAAAAGCTAGTTTCAAATGAAAGTTTACTCACCAGCTAAGCATCACTGGGTTGTGGGTAGTGTTTTTTTTTTGGGGGGGGGGGGTGGTCTGTCCTTTTCAGACTCCTGGAAGAAGGAAGAGAGAAAGGGAGAGAAAGGGGGAGGGTGAGTCTTTAACTAGCTGTTCACCTCCTTCTCATAAGCAGAGCGCCGAGCCACAAAGAAGTTCTGGCGCTCTCGTAAACAAACCGCCAACTTCTCAATGGAGCGGGGGGGCGGAGCAGAGATGGCTTTTAAACAGAGACTTCATGTGGATATGGGGGGGGGGGGGGGTTGGAGGGAGAAAAGGGACCTGCGAGGTGCCTTTATATCCAAACCGGACAATAACAAGGCTACAGTTCAAACGCATTAAAAACACAAACTTTAGGATATTTCTACATATTTCTGTATCTCTGTAGTATATTTTTGTATCTATGTAGTATATTTCTATATATTCCTGTATCTCTGTAGTATATTACTGTATCTGTAGTATATGTATGTATCTCTGTAGTAAATGTCTATATATGTATGTATCTCTGTAGTATATTTCTATATATTTCTGTATATTTCTATATATTTCTGTATCCCCGTAGTATATGTCTATGCCTTTCTGTATCTCTGCAGTATGTATCCATCTATCCAATGTAACATATATAGAAAACACAGCAGAAAACCAGTAAATCAACGATATGGATGGAAGCGAGGTGGCTAATTGTGTTGAATCCGACGCGGAGGCTAATATGCAGAGAGCACTTTGGGTTGAAGGCTTTTTGATCTCAACGCTGCAGAGCAAATTGGAACAAATAGCCCGGGTTGGTTTCTACGGCAACCTGAAAGAGCAGCTCAGACCTGCCTGAAAAATCAGAGAGGGATGATTGCTAATTTCTTAGTGCTGCGATAAGACTGATTACTTCTGCTGAGATGTTTAATGTGCATTCAGACAGGATGCTGATTGGTTGGCATTTGATTGTGTTCAAGGCTGAAACTTGTTTTTACTATCAATTAAAAGCTGATTTGTTTCTGGCAACAACTTTGGAATATAGCAGACATCTTAATTGACGAATCAGGAGGACTTTTTTATTTTTTATTTTTCTTTCACAGATGTACAAACCTTTAAAAAAACTTCACAGATTTGCAAAACTACAGTAAAAAAGCAGCGACAGGCAGTCAAAAGAAAAAGCAGCAAAATGCTAAATATGGGCAGAAAAACGCTTTGACGCGCTCAAACTAAAAACCGATCCGCTTCTTGATGGCGACTGTGATGGTGATTGCGCTGGAAAACTGCGGTAGAAATGGCGGTTCAAGAACAGCGGTCTAAAAAATGGTCTCTTACTGACTAACCCTTTCCTCTCTTTCCATCCAAAACCACCCAAAAATACTACATAATAAATATAAAAATTCAGCGACCTTTCCTATGGCTCCTTCAACTTCCTCCACTAGGGTTAGGGTTAGGAAATACATGAGATAAAAACTGTAACAAAGTGACAAGTGGGTCAAACAGCTGGGATGAAAGTGCTTAGATATTAACAAATAATACATATCTTAAAGTGGACCTATCATGCTATATTTGAATAATATAGTGTAGGACCATACCTATATAAGGCATATTTATACTTTTTTTTTTTTAAATACCAAACAGATCATGCATTTTAGCCATGCCTCATTTCGCTCAATTTGACAATTTCTAGCTCTGGGCAGATTCAGTGAGAACAGCACCATCTAGAGGCCTGGCATATGTACTACAGCATCTCCAGCGCTTTCGAACGGCAATGGCCGTGGCTGTCTCCTCCTGATTGGTGGAGTTGGCCCAATAGCCGTAGCGCCACCGTCCTGACGTCAGGACAGTGTTCAAATCTGGATCAGTTTTTATCAGATCCGTTGCAGCCCCTTTTTTAGAGATTTGGGTATGGAGGAAAATAGAGAGGGTTGTGTTTTCTGACACTTGGTGAGTTCCCTGGAACACAGGGGACACATATTCATGTAGAAAAGACGTACAAAAGTGCATTTTGCATGATAGGTCCCCTTTAAATGGATGAAAAATCTGCATTCATTGATATCTAGAAGACTTCACACAATGGGGATTGTATCGTGTCTAACTTTGCTGGATCACAACAAATCTGCAGATCTACAGCTCCAATGAAACCACACTTTTCAACATTGTGCCTTCAACTGACTAAGAGAGGCTCGATTTTAGCGTAGACGATTGCCAGAAATGACCTTTCTTACTGAGGCAGTTTTTGATCAATTCCATCCTCTCCTCCTATATAATTGTCAATAAGCACACAAATATAATAGGCCTATTATAACAGTAGTCTACCCACACAGATATAACCGTACACATTATCTCACAGGAGGCTTATGGAGAGATATTAAGGACATTTGTTCAGTAAGATGACAGTTTGTTGTTGCTCTGCAGTGTCCTTTATCGTCTTCCCTATGGGAGCTTTTCAAATTCATTAGACAAAAGCTGTGAAGGGCCCTGAACTATTAATTCTGCTTAATGTTGTTGCTCGTGATTCATGTAGTGTGTCTCTGGGGCTTCCCTATAAAACATTTGATTCTATTTTTGTGAGACGGCTTTGGCTTGTTGCCCTTGTGTTTTCATACTAGCATGTGATGCGGCAGGAAATGATACTCGCCAATAGAGTGGGATAAACCCTGGACCGCTATTAAAGGGGACCTATCATGCAAAATGCACTTTTGTACGTCTTTTATACATGAATATGTGTCCCCGGTGTTCCAGGGAACTCACCAAGTGTCAGAAAACACAACCCTCTCTATTTTCCTCCATACCCAAATCTCTAAAAAAGGGGCTGCAACGGATCTGATAAAAACTGATCCAGATTTGAACACTGTCCTGACGTCAGGACGGTGGCGCTACGGCTATTGGGCCAACTCCACCAATCAGGAGGAGACAACCACGGCATTGCCATTCGAAAGCGCTGGAGACGCTGTAGTACATATGCCAGGCCTGTAGGTGGTGCTGTTGCTCACAGAATCAACCCTTGCTAAAACAGATATAAAAAATGTCAAATTGAGCAAATGAGGCATGGCTAAAATGCATGATCTGTTTGGTATTTTGAAAAAGTATAAATATGCCTTATATAGGTATGGTCCTACACTATATTATTCAAATATAGCATGATAGGTCCACTTTAAGACTGCATCAAAAATGTAGTTTGTGTTTCAAATCACTCACTCAATCCTTAAACCTACCCTATACAGTCTGTACAACTTGGCCCTCAATTGTTAATGGTTGTATACCCCAGTTGTTCCTGTTAGTGTTTATGAAGCAAAGCAGTCTCTTGACACCTTGTTGATGGATTGGATGTGATTAATGTGGGAACTATATATTATGTATCATTAGTGTTAGGGTCTATCATTCATCATTCCCCTAACAAGAAGCCCACCATGTCATACTTCAAGAGCCAAAGATCTGCATATCATTAGCATAATATAAAACATGGCAGGAGGCAAAATGTGGGCCCCCCAGTATTCAAAAGGATTTCATCAAACCATAACGAGAGACTCTTTGAAGGTGGTCAAACCGAAATGTGCATTGGTATCAAGTTTTAAAAGGTTGTATAACTAAATATTTGCAAATGAGTCAGAAATATTCGGAAAATGTCCATCAGACGCTTCAAGACTCCAAGGTGACATCTTTAAAGCTCTTGTTTTGTCCAACCAAGACTCTGGTAGTAAACGTATACTGATTTAAATGAGTTCTTCCAGATTGTCTGAGACTCTGAACAGCCACAAAGACAGGTAGACAAACGCAGTAAAGGGGATTTACTATGGAGCTAAGCTAAACTAAGCTGAGAATTTAGGGCCGAGCAGCAGGAAGTGTCCGCTCAAACAAAAAAAAACTCCCCGTAATCTCCAATGTCAGTGTGGGATCAGCTTGTATTCACTGAGACTGGTGAGGAGGAAGAATTCTCATAAACTGCTTAGTCTGTGACCTATAGTTTTATTGTCTTTCAGCCACACACACACACACACACACACACACACACACACACACACACACACACACACACACACACACACACACACACACACACACACACACACACACACACACACACACACACACACACACACACACACACACACACACACACACACACACACACACACACACACACACACACACACACACACCAGACAGTCAACAAAGTCTATGAATACTCAATCCTGTTCAAATCCAGTAACAACTTTATTGACTAGATAACTGATGAAACTGTTGCATAAACCCAACACAGATTACATCAGAGTGTCAGGGCCCCGTTCAATATATACGTAGATAACAACTTTAGAATAATGATTTGACATGATTCTGGACAAGTCCTTAAACCTTAAAACTTCAGAAATCACACGTTTATTGACAGTTAGCTCGATAACAACAAATGAGTGTTGATGTTAGAAGATCATGGTCAACCTCATGCATTCACTTCCTGTTCCTTTCATGGATTTGTATCTAATGAGTGTTGATATAATTATGATTTAGATGAGATCATGCAGGCTATTGAAAAATCACTTGGCTTTTCACATTGACGACATCTACTACATATGGTATTTGGTTCCCTACAAGGTTTGCTTTGTCTAAACATTTTTCCTTTAGCACTCTGTCAAAAGTGTTACGCATCCAAGCTCCAGGTCTATAAACATAAGGTGTTGTATGCTGTAGCTTTTAAAGCCAATTTTAAAAACAAAATAGGACTCCTGTGGAAACCAAAAGTGTATGTACCAAATTGATTGTTGAGACACTTCACTTAAAACTACAAATATGAACTTAATGTTTGCGCTATAAAAGTCAGCGGATCCCTTGTCATATTGGAACTGTTGATGCCTGTATCAAATGTTGTGGCTATATCCATCCCACAATTGTTAAAGTGGACCTATCATGCTATATTTGAATAATATCGTGTAGGACCATACCTATATAAGGCATATTTATACTTTTTTTTTTTCAAAATACCAAACAGATCATGCATTTTAGCCATGCCTCATTTCGCTCAATTTGAAAAATGTTAGCTCTGTTTTTGCAAGGGCTGATTCTGTGAGAACAGCACCACCTACTGGCCTGG